CGACCTGCGTCTCGCGAGCCCCAGCCTCAAATCCAAGGCGGGGGGCGGGGCGGGGGGGCCGAGGCGACCCCCTTGCCCGCGAGCTGTCTCGCCGAACCCCGCCCGCCCCAGCGCGCGCGTTGCGCCCGAGTCTCTCCGCGCCCCGCGTTCGTTCATGGCCGGGCAAATACTGGGCGCCGAAACAAACCGCGCGCGCGCGACACCCGGGCGAGGCGCGCCAACCGCGCCACGAGCTCAAGGCGCGCCGGGCGCCCCTGGGGCCCAAGCCCGCCACGCACACCTGGCGCGCCAGTTGCGCCGCTCGCGCCTCGCGGTCGACATGCGTCGGGCGCGCCGAGTTCGGGGCGCGCGCCGGGGGCCGCCCGCGCCCGGGAAACAAACATGCCCCGGCAAAGCAACCTAACAGCGATGTGTAGAAGCATATCTGGAAGCATTCCCCTTACGATTCAGGTGAGAACCCAATTGTAGAATTCTGCTGTTCTCGCAGTCGCAATCGCATTCGCAATGACAGTCGCAGTGGCAACGGCCTTCGGATACATTGGAATCCTAATGATTCCTATGGAATCCTAAGGCATCAGGACTCCATAGGAATCCGTAGGAAACCTTAGGAAACCTTCGGAATCTTGATTCCTGGGGATTCCGACGGGTTCCTAAGGATTCTTGGGGAATCCTCAAGATTCCTAAGGATCCCTGAGGATGCTTAACTATGCCTACGGATTCCTACGAATGCCTACGGATTCTTAAGGATTCCTAAGTATTCCTAAGGATTCCGATGGATTCCTACGGATGCCTCAACCAGCTTCAGTTTCAGCCTCAGCCTCAGCCTGCCTCGGCCTCAGCCTGCCTCAGCCTCAGCCTCAGCCTGCCTCGGCCTCAGCCTGCCCCAGCTTCAGCCTCGGCCTGCCTCGGCCTCAGCCAGCGTCAGCCTTGGCCTCAGCCTGCCTCGGCCTGCCTCAGCCTCAGCCTGCCTCAGCCTCAGCCTGCGACAGCCTCAGCCCCAGCCTGCCTCGGCTTGCCTCAGCCTCAGCCTCAGCCTGCCTCGGCCTCAGCCTGCCTCGGCCTCAGCCTCAGCCCCCTCCCCCCCCCCCCCCTCTCCCCCCCCCCCCCATGCAGCCTCGCCTTGTCTCAGCTTCGGCCTGCCTCGGCCTCATCCTCAGCCTCAGCCTCAGTCTCAGCCTGTCTCGGCTGTGCCAGCCTCAGCCTGCCTCAGCCTCAGCCTGTTTCAGCCTCAGCCTGCCTCAGCCTCAGCCTCAGCCTCAGCCTGCCTCGGCTTGCCTCGGCCTCAGCCTCAACCTGCCTCGGCCTCCGCCTCAGCCCCAGCCTGCCTCAGCCTCGGCCTCAGCCTTCCTCAGCCTCAGCCTGCATCAGCCTCAGCTTCAGCCTGCCTAAGCCGCAGCTTGCCTCAGCCTCGGCCTCAGCCACGGCCTCAGCCTCAGCCTCAGCCTGCCTCAGCTTCAGCCTCAGCATCAGCCTGCCTCGGCCTCAGCCTCAACCTCAGCCTGCCTCGGCCTCAGCCTCAGCCTCAGCCTGCCTCAGCCTCGGCGCCGGCCTCTCAGCCTCAGCCTGCGCCAGACTCAGCCTCAGCCTCAGCCTGCCTCAGCCTCAGTCTCAGCCTGCCTCAGCCTCAGCCTCAGCCTGCCTCGGCCTCAGCCAACGTCAGCCTTGGCCTCAGCCTACCTCAGCCTCATCCTGCCTCAGCCTCGGCCTCAGCCTGCCTCGGCGTGCCTCAGCCTCAGCCTCAACCTGCCTCGGCCTCAGCCTGCCTCGGCCTCAGCCTGCCTCAGCTCGGGCATTCAAAATATGGCACAGGACTGGTGTTCTGGGAACGCGAAGATCACGAAGTGGCACACAGTTGGCTCCAGGCAATCAAAATATAATACAGGAATTGTGCTCTGGGAACACGAAGAACACGAAATGGCCTACAGTTGGCTCCGGGCATTCGAAATGTTGCCTGGGGGTCGTGTTCTGGGAACACGAAGAACACGAAGTGGTCTACAGCAGGCTCTGGGCATTGAAAATATGGTACAGGAATGGTGTTCTGGGAAAACGAAAAACACCAAGTCGCCTACAGTTGGCTCCAGGCATTCAAAATGTGGCCCAGGAATAGTGTTCTGTGAGCACGAAGAACACGAAGTGGCTTACAGTTGGCTCCGGGCATTCAAAATGTGGCCTGGGAATGGTGTTCCGTTGGCTCCGGGCAGTCAAAATGCGGCTCCTAGCAATGAAAATGGGGAGTCCCCTGTTTTCCCCGGCAACCGCCAGATCCTGCCCAGACCCCCTTGGGGAATCAGGATGTTCCCTTTTGACGCCACTAGAAACCTATCAGTCTTCGCTGTTAGGTGACAACGCGCAGCGATGGCGGGGTGGCCGCGGGCAATCCAGATTTAGCCCCGACGTACACGTGGGTATTTTTTCTTCCTCTCCACAAGGGCAGCGGCCTCGCGCGCGGCGGGCAGCGCGAGCCCCCCCGCCCCCTGGCCGCCCCTGACAACCAAATCACGCGCTCGCGGGTATCGTCGGCATGGCCCGAGATCTTGCCGAGCAAATGCGCGCCTAGCTGCGTTTGACCAGGATGGGGGGGGGGGGGGGGGCGTCGCCATAGGCGCAAGTGATGCGCGGGGAACGGCGATAAATCCACCCCCGACGGGGAAGAAGAGGGGGTGAATCAGGGAACGATGTAAACCGCTGCTGGCCAAAGGGCTGGCGGGGCTCGGGCGGACGCGGCTACTCTGGTCACGTCCTCTCTAAAAGCTGCTTCCACGCTGATCGAGCCGCGGCGCCGCAGTGGCACGTGGCAATGGTGGCTGCTTCGAGCTCGTCGGTTGGGATGCGATTCGCTCCGTCAATGTTTCGCTCGACTAGTTCGAACGTGCGCGGCGAGACAGCGTGTCCTCCGCGCGGGGCTGGCAACTTCGCGCGGTCTTTCCACGCAGCAGCGCAGGCCTGAAAAGAAGGGGGAGGGAAACTTGCGCTGTCGCGTGTCCCTGCGATTGTCAGCAATCGTTCTAGGCAACTGTTGTGCCACGTCGTGATTATTGTGTTCGGTGCTCTGCGTTGGTCGTCCGCCCGCTGTTCCTCGACCCCCTTTCCCAATGCTTACATGCTGTCTCTGAGCTTGCGGCAAGACTGCCGCGTGCACTGTGTAACGGCTCGACACGCAACATCCGCACACGCGCGATGAAGTCTTTGGAAGCGGCGCTTTCGAACAACTCCCCCAACAACTGAACGCTGGATGCCCACTATTCCGTTCAGAGCGGGGGCATCTCAATCACCTCAAAATCCACCTGAGTCACAGCATGCGCGAACACCGTGTTCAAGTCATCCATACCCCCCTCCTCGAGACCGTTATGCTCCTCATGCGCAGCCTCCGCCCTGCGAATGCGCACGATGAAATGCGCTGCCGAATGTGCCTTGTTTGCGAACACTCAAGCAAAACCTCCCGGTTCGGCCGTGGTCTCGCCGAAAAAAGCGTCGCCGTGGCCACCGTGCGAACAGGAAAACGGGCCGATGACTTCGCGTAGCATCCGTCTGATGCAACTGGAGTCTCCTAAGAGATCTGGCGCACGCAAAACAAGACTCCACTGCGCACGTCACGGTACGCGGTTCAACTACATGATCAACCTGACTTTTTCCGGATCCCTTACGGAGGAGGCAACGGTGGAAAACAACGTGTTGGCTGCAAACAAACCCCAAGCTCTAACCGCCAGCTTGACCGCCCGAGTCCCAGGATTGATTGTTCCCAGAGAAACCGCCATCCACCGGATCAGCATCAAAAACAAATCCTAACATTCAGATTCATATAACAGAGGGGTACCGCATGCATGCTTCATTGATATTCCGATTGGGAGCCAGGTGTGCCAAATGTTTGCTCTTGCTGCCACACATGAAAGCACGCAGCACGTCCCCACAGCAGCTTGGGGACAGGGGGGACGTGCGTCAAGGAACGTTTGAAGAGTTCATGTTTCTTGGCTATGGTGGTGATCCCGCAAGACGGTGTCACAATTTGTCCTCTTCTGAAACCACGTTGCTGGCCACGGTAAACTATGAAGGGCTGTGGCTCGACGACGTCTCTGGTACTGCGCTGCTGGGTGCCACCGAGAATGACGACGTCATGCTTGCGATACTTTGCGACGATGTCTGCGCATGGCGTTGCGGGAAACACCACACGCATTGAAACCGAGAAATCGAAGCAAACCTGCACATGCGTTTGCGCCCAAGGGCGCACCGCTGCCTTGGCTGCACTGGGGGCACGAGCTCGATCTCACTAAGGAGGTGACGATCTGATTCCCGCAATCCTTCGGGCCACCACCTAGGAGGAAATGGAGGAGAATGGAGGAGAAGCGAGGATGGAAGAGGAAGAAGAATGAGGAGAAGCGAGGAGGAAGGAGAGAGATCAGCGGAGCAAGGCAAAACGGACTGGGTCTCCAGGGGTATCCGGAAACCTCTGTAGGCCACGATACTCCGAGGCCTCCGGCCCCCAGAATCAACAAAATGTCCAGAGGCGTTCAAGCACGCATCTATTCTGAATCCTCGGGCACTCGACCGCAAGGGGGGAGAAGGGAGGCCCGGCGCTGGCTGATCGAGGTGGGCGAGGAGGGGGGGTGTATGGGGTAGTCAAAGGGAGGCAAGGGAACCAGCCGCATGCAACTGGTTTCCCAGGCGCCTCCGGGCGCCGGCGCCGCAGAGAATTATGCATCGAGGAAGGAGCCTGGCGGCGGGGCCGAAACCAGCTGCACGCAGCGGATGTCGCAACACCCTTCCTTCCAACTCCCCGCCGGTAAGGGCGACGAGATCTGTGCACATCCGCTGGCCAGGCCCATCCTGGGCCCAGGCGCGGTGTGTATGCCTCCCTGGCCAAGCCGGGGGGCGTATTCACCGCTGAGGGGCATACGTGCCGCTCCTGGATCCAGGATGGGCGGGGCCAGCGGCGGTGGACATGTATGAACTCGTCGCCCCATTCGTTTCCCCCGACAAGGCCAGGAGGTGGCCAAGGCCAGGGCCCAGGGGGGGCTCTCCAGGACCATCCGCCGGAAATCGTAGGCCAACAGCTTCTCGTAGACAGTGCAGCCTGGGGGGCTGGAGGAGGGGAAGGAGAAAGAGAAGGCGGAACACGAGTTGGGAGCAGGAGGAAGAAGGAAGTGCTTGGGAGCCCTCGAGCTTGTAGAGGGTTCTGGAGGGTGGGCGGCTCTCGGGGGGAGGCAGGGGGTCGGGCGCACCCTACCGACCCCTTGAATGTCGATTCCCTTCTGTGACAAACAATCACCTCGAAGCACCCATCCAACCGCCATCCCACGTCTTCGAGCGAGGCGATGGGGTGGCCACGGAAGGATCCTAGCGGCTTACTAACGATCGACCAACCCTTCGGGAAAAACAGCGATAGCAATTGTGATTCGTAAGCGGAAAGAAAATGAGCGAAAGAGGATGGGGAAACGGAGAGGCGACAAACTGAGGAAGCGGGCCTCATCATCATCAACATCATCATCATCATCATCATCATCATCATCATCATCATCATCATCATCATCATCAGCATCATCATCATCATCATCATCAGTTTCGTCATCATCATCATCATCACCACCATCATCATCATCATCGTAATCATAATCATCCTCAGCAGCATCATCAAGATCAGCATCATCGACATCATCGTCATCATCGTCATCATAATCATTATCATCATCATCGTCGTCATCATCATGATTATCGTCGTCGTCATCATGATCATCATCAAACGCATAGTCATCATCATCATCACCGTTATGATAGCGATTAAGTCTAATAATCACCCTCATCACCATCACCATCATCATCATAATCATCATCATCATCATCATCATCATCATAATCATCATCATAATCATCAGCATCATCATCATCACCATCACCATCACCATCACCATCACCATCACCATCACCATCACCATCACCATCACCATCACCATCACCATCATCATCATCATCATCATCATCATCATCATCATCATCATCATCATCATCCACAACATCATCGTCAACATCATCGTCATCGTGCAGGTGGACCGCGCGAAATCACAGGCGTAGTGGCATCGGCGCCAGCTGCAGGCAGCGAAGGTCCCCTTCAGCAGCCCGACTGCGGCGGCGCTGAAGCGGAGGACCAGGCGATGAGCGAAGATCAGAGGGAGGCTCGGGGTGGGGTGGTCTTGGGCTCGGAGTGGATGAAGTTCTCTAGGTTGTTTTTTCGAGGCAACGGCCACGCGTTTCTGGCATGCCCTGTGATCGACCGCCTCGGTTCCCCCCAGAACAGAATTCGGTGTTGTTGTCGGTGCGGCACTTTCTTTTGTGCTCCCCCAACATGGGGGCCCAAGCCACATGCCGACCGAAACCCACTACAGGCTGGATGAGTGACCAGTTGCGGCGAATTCGGCTCGGTAAGTTCCGATTTGCAAGGACCTGAAACATTTAACGCTTGGGGCCCACGAGGGCCCTAATCTCGCCGAGCGGAAGATCTTGGGTCAGACGCTGGTGGAGGATGATCGGGCCCCTGATTGTGCTTCAGGTCCTCCAACTGTCTGGGGTAACGCAAGGTTCTGCCTCGCATGGCAAGGTTTGTCTTAATTCGGCCTCGCAGAGGCCGACCTCCCCTGGGTGAAAGCTCGAGGGGAAGCCACGACCCGAACGTCGCCAGGCGAGCTTGGCGAGTCGGACTCGGGCGCCGGCGACTTCGGCTGACATCATGGACGACCAGGCTGTAGCCCCCTCCCCAACCAAGTTCCCATCATGACCATCATCATCACCATCAACATCACCATCGCTATCATCATCAACAGTAGCCGCAGCGTTGTCAGCAGCATCATGCTCACCAGTATCCTCATCACAACCAGCATCATCATGTCCACCACCACCGCCACACCAAACATCATCACCACCACAACCATCACCATCATCAGCATCATCAACAACAATTTCGTCACTGTCGTCGTCTTCTCGTCGTCGTCGCCATCATCGTTATCATCGTCATCACCAGCCGTATCAGCAGCATCATCGTCATTAGCATCGTTCTCATCAACATCCTCATCAATACCAGCATCATCACAATCACCACCACCACCACTACCACCACAACCAACATCACCGCCACCACCATCACCACCAGCATCATCATCAACAACACCTTCGTCGCTGTCGTCGTCTTCTCGTCGTCCTCGTCATCATCAACATTATCATCAGCATTACCGTCACCATCGTCACCACCACCACCAGCCTCACAATGATCATGGTCAGCATCGTCATCATTAGCAGCAGCATCATCATCGTCAACATCATCCGCATCTTCGTTTTCAACATCATAAGCCGAATCATCGTCATCATCATCATCATCATCATCAGCATCATCATCATCATCATCAGCATCACCATCACCATTGGCACAGCCATCGCCATCACCATTACCCGCACCAGCATCGTCATCACCATCACGCTCATCATCGTCGTCGTCATCAGAATTATCAGCACCGCCATCATTATCAGTACCACCATCATCACCACAATCAGCACCACAATCACCATCACAGTCACCACCATCATCATCACCATCAGCATCCAGCTCCTCCTTTTCTCATGTTTCCAATACTTGGTTTTAAGCGTCCTCACACTCCTCCTCCTCCTCCGCCCCCGCTTCCTCCTCCTCCCGTCTTTCTCGTCCTCCTCCTCCACCTCCTCCTCCTGCTCTCCGTTCTCCTCCTCCCCCTCCGGCCTCCCTCCCTCCCTCGCTTTTTCCATCGTGATCAGGACGGCGCCGCCTCCCTCTTCGTTCCATCAGGTCATTCCTCGTCCCATCACTCACTCCGCCCTTTCCTCGTTCCCTCTGGCGTCCATCCCTGACACCCTCCTCCTCCTCCTCCTCCTCCTCCTCCTCCTCCTCTTCCTCCTCCTCCTCCTCCTCCTCCCACTCCATTTCCCCCCTCATAAATAACTCCTCCGTGCCGCACCCCGAAGCCAGTTTTTAGGGCGGGCTGGGCGTTTATCTTGAGACATCCACTTTCACCGATGGAGGGCGGGTGGCTTTCAAAGTGTGGCTCTGGCCTTAGCGCCCCGCACATTCTTTTTAAACATTTGCAAGAATTTCGCGGCGCGAGGGCGGGTCGTTTTGAAAATATGGCTATCGTCTTAGCGCCGCGCACATCGTTTGTAAACATTTGCAAGGGCTTCACGGATTGAGGGCGGTTCTTGTTCAATATGTGGTTCTCGCCTTAGCGCGGTGCACATTCGTTTTTAAACATGTGCAAGAGCTTCACGGATTGAGGGCGGCTCCCTTTTTTCAACTTGTGGTTATCACCTAGACGCCGCGCGCATTCGTTTGGACCGTGTGCAAGAGCTTCACGGCTTGAGGGCGGGTCGTTTTCAAAATGTGGTTCTCGCCTTCGCTCCGCGCACATTCGTTCTAGACATTTGCAAAAGCTTCACGGACTGAGGGCGGTTCTTTTTCAAGATGCGACTATCGTCTTAGCACCACGCACATTTGTAAGCGTTTCACGGATTCCCATAATCAGCGTACCAAAAACTGCGTTTTGGAAGGATTCCACGTTTTGCGGGTGCAGCAGTAATGTTGGTTCGCGGAGTTGAAATCAAAACAATGCAGTTCTGGCACGACTTCGGATCGCCAAAACGCAACAGTCAGTTTGATACGCGGCGTGCAACGTTTTGGCATGCGCCAGGATCTTCAAGCTGTTGTTCTCCAGCGAGGCATTCCCCCCAATGGAACTAGACCGTTGTGGGGTCTATGAAGAGGGAGCTTGGAGGGGGGTAAATGCAGACATCGTTGATGACTCTTGGGTTTACACTGCCCCCCCCTTCTCCCCCCCCCCTCCCCCCCTCTGGTTCCTATGATCCCTACCAAGAGGTGGTCCGCTCAGCAAACCTACCTCTACCCCGAATGGGGATCCAAACCCCACGGCTAACCCAGGGCCCGCCAGGGAAGGAATATAAGATCTGGCGCAGGCGAGGGCCCTGGGAGCTTCAAACGCAAAAAAATCAAACCCTCCTCACCGCAGCCCTCGAGACATGAAAAGGGGTCCCGCCCCAGCGGGCGCCTGTCTGGGGATCACGCCCCGCCCGCAGACGTTCGAGGGCGCGGCGAGCAAGTCGCGCCGCGTCGCGGCTCTTGCGAGACAGAGGGAGGCAAGGATCGGCAAGGAGCTTAGCCTGACGACTCCCATGCGCCCCACATGTCCGACAAAAAACGAGACACCCACCCATCCCAGAGGACTCCCGACCAGACCCGTCCCCACCCCGAGTCACCCAAAGCCCATGGGATGGGTGGGACCTGGCGACCAGCCACGGGAGTCCTGGACAGGGGCTCGCGACGACCCTGGCCCTGGAAGCCCTGCGGATCCCACAGACGGCACAGCCCCAGGCCCGCCCGAGCCTCGCCAGAACGTGGCCCCTGTCGGGCCTGACCAGAGCCAGCTCCCCAAGATCGGGACCCTGGGCCCAGGGAGGGCCCCGCGGTCGGGCCACCCAAGGTCCGTGAGCCCTTTGAGGACCCCCCCGCGGTGGCCGCGCCCGGCCGCAGCTTTCTCCGCGGCGGCCTCAGCGCGGCGGCTCAGCTCCTGGAGCCGCGCCCGCCCAGGATGGGGCCGGGCGCCGCCCTTGGCCCGCAGGTCGGCCTCCCTGTTGCCAGCGAAGGCCTGCCAGGGCGCGCTCGACGCGCTCGCCCTGGCCCACGAGGAGTGCAAGCACAGCCACCTCAGCGCGAGGAACTCCGGGCCAAGGTCGTCCAGCAGCCTCCACGCGCGCCCCCAAAGATCGGCGCACTTGTGCCCAGGGCCACAGCAATGCTCCTTGCCAGCCGCCAGGTCCTTGAGCCCCTTGCAATCCGCGTAGACCGTGATGGGCGAACGGCCCGCTTCCTCCAAGACGCGGCACAGCGCGTAGAGCTCCGCGTAGCCGATCTCCTGGATCCACCCAGGCGCGAGGCCGAAGAGGCCGCCGACAACGTTCCCGACGTCACCCACCATCACGGCAGCCCAGCCCGTGCGAGTCAGGCACAGTATGTCAGGGTACATCGCAGACCCATTGAGGAGCCCTCTCACCATGCCCAGGTCGTCTTGCGGCGCCATCCTGCCTGCGTCGGCGACCTCCTGGAAGCCCAAGTCGCGCGCCCAACAGGAGATGGCAGGGCGCATGAAGAGCCGATGGTGTGCCGTGCCTGGAGCCTCTCCGCACCACTGGCACAGCGGGCTGATCTCAGCCCTTCCTCATGCAAGTCGCTCTGCGTGACGAGCCCTCCCGCCACGTGCGCCTCCGCCAGCGCCGCCTCCTGCGTCTTGCCTGCTCGCCGCAAGCCCGCCAGCGCCGCCGTGAACGGCTCCAGGTCAGGCGGGCGGCCCTTGAGGTGCTCGGCACCCGCTGTGGCGCGCGACCTCCAGCACGAGGTAACGATGGGCCCCTCGCTCGACGAGGCTGGCCACCATCCGCGGGCTGAGAACCTGCAGGTCGATGATCTGCCCTCGGTCGCCCCCCCAGCGATGCCAGACCATCATCTCCCAACCAATGCGCTCCAGCGAGAGGCAGACCGCCCCCGCCGGCCCCGCGACCTCGCCCCCGTCGCCCGGCCTGCGCTCCAGCACCTTCTCGAAAACCGCTGGCGGCCGCACGCGCAAGAAGATGGCGCGAGCCAGGCCCTCAGCGGATTGGGCGTGCGCCACAAAGGCTGGGTCGTGACGCCAGTCCTTGCCTTCCTGCAGGGCAAAGAGGACTGTCCTGGACTTCTGGTCGACCTCGCCCGAGATGGCCCTGCCATTGATCGCTCTGGCGCGCTGCAGGGACTTGGTGGGCGCGCCGCTGACCCTCGCGCCATGGAAGATGGACGCTAATCCTCCCGTCCTGAAGACCTTGGAGAGTCGCTTGGCCCCAGCCTTGCGGAGCGCCCTATACTGTCCCGCCCTCTGGCTCAGGCGGTTGATCCTCTGACGCATCACCTTCCAGGAGGCCGACTCCGACATAGTGAAGTCCACGCCCAGGTTCTTCGCGGCCTTCTCGCGCGTGAACTTCCATTATCGCTACGTCTCAGGGGGCAGGCGGGGGGCCAGTGAAGCTGACAGGATACACAGTATCTGACAGCGGGGCGTGCAGCAACGCCGCGAAGCGGCCTATGGGGAAGCACTGTTTCAACCACACACTGCACGAGGGCCCAGACGGGCCAAAGATATATAGAATCATTCATCGGGAGGCCGATTGAGATCCAGATAACCTCAACCAAGTCACAACCAACAAAAACTCGAGTTGCGACCGGCATCAGAAGATTCTCAGTCCCACGTGTCGCGAGAGCAGGGCCGGGCAAAGCGTTCAAACAGGGAGGGAAGCTTGAGCGGACACGAAAGACAAGCAGGGCAGGACGAGGGATATAACCTGCACTACTATCTTACACGGCCCACCCCCACCACACCACCCCGAGACGCGATCAATTAAGTTTGGAAAACGATCATTATCGCTACGTCTCAGGGGGCAGGCGGGGAGCGAGCGAAGCTGACAGGATACACAGTATCTGACAGCGGGACGTGCAGCAACGCCGCGAAGCGGCCTATGAGGAAGTACTGTTTCAACCACGCACTGCACTAGGGCCCAGACGGGCCAAAGATATATATATATATATATATATATATATATATATATAATCATTCATCGGGAGGCCGATTGAGATCCATATAACCTCAACCAAATCACAACAAACAAAAACTCGAGTTGCGATCGGCATCAGAAGATTGTCAGTCCCACTCCCGCATTTGATGTGCCTGGCGTAGCCGACAAAAACTACATGTTGTGGCCAGGGCGGGCAGGCGGGGGCCACAGCTAAGAAATTCATGCGAACGGCCAAGCTCACCGTGGGGCGGCGGTCGCGCCCGTAGGCCACCACCTCTAGGGGGCCCTCGTATGGCGCCCCTAGCCGCCCACATGGGGCGCCCCCATTTGGCCTGTCGCCTCACTCTGTCCACCATCCAGTTCCCTCTCCCCACGTCTCGTCGGAGTAGAGGTCGTCGGACTCTGGGCAGCTTGTGTCACCCTTGGTGGACCTCTTGTTGGTGGTGGACCTCTTGTTGGTGGTGGACCTCTTGTTGGTGGTGGGTCCCAGCATCAAGAGCTCTGCGGCGACATATTTCACCTTCTTCGTCTTCAGATTCGTCCTGATGCCGTCGACCAGCTGCTGCTGCTGCTTGTGCTTGCTGTAGTTGGTGCGGGACTCTATCGCGCGGAGTATCTCGGCGGCCAGGTCTGAGGTCGCACGGGATCCCACGTCCAGCACCTTCTTCTGCATTTTTGCGCGGAACTGCGTGAGGGCGAACGTCTTGGAGTACCGTTGGACGCTGGACAATGCCTTCCACCTGCCCCGCCTCCGCACCTGCTCTAGGCTGGCCCGTCCTCGGGCCACGTCCTCGCTGGGCCCCGAGTGGCGGAGCCCGTGCGGAGGCGGCGCCCATGGCATCCCAAGCGAGCGACATGCGCGGCGCCACTCTTTGCGGAAACCTGCCTGCTTAGGGCCGAAGATGGGCCCCGTGACATTCTTCTTGACGTCCTTCAGGGCCAGCATGAGGCTCGCGACCGTGCCGCGGCGGATAACGACCCCTTGGTTGCTGCCCGTCTTGCCCTCCTCGCCTCGGGACGAGATGCCAAACAGGAGGCCCGCGCATCGGCCATCCCAGATGATGTCGGCCTCGCGTAGCATCTCCATGTCCTGCTCCCGCCCGTAGACGTCGTACTGCACCAGGGTCCAGATGGCTTCATCTAGGAGCCCCGCCTCGAAGAAGTAGATGGCGATGGCGAAGACAGCTTCCTCAGGCAGAGGACCCCCTTCCACAGAGATAACCAGCCTCTGCCAGCTCTTCAGGCTTCGCAAGGCCAGGGGAAGCTGGTTCCTCAGCTCAAGCCAAATCACCAGCAGCCCGAATAAGACGATCGACCCCCACGTAGGACGGATCCGGTCCTTGTAGCACTTCATGTCCATGTAGTCGGCCAGGGCGTGGTCCACGGCGTTCGCGGACCGCAGCTCCCAACCCTTGTCGACACAGTGGCTAAGAAAGTCTCGAACCTTCGGGGCCCACTGCGCCGCGGTGACGTCCGCCACGGAGTGGGTAAGCAGCCTTGTGAAGCCGCCCTCGCTGATGCCCAGGTGCGGCTCCTTCTCGTAGTTCTCCCGCGCCCGTGGCCCTCGCTTCTGCAGGGGGATGTCTCCCGCCCTGGGCGGCTTCGGGCGAACCGCTCCAACAGGGTGGGCTGCCTCCAATGCCACGGCGGCTACCCACCAGCGTATCCCGTACAGGCGCGGCCCAGGTCGCGTAGATCGTGACCTCGGCTGTCCGTTGGAGCGGGGCGTCGGTCGCTGTGAGCTGCTACCGTCTCGGGCGCCGCGCCGAGGAAGCCCCCCCGAGAGAGGCCGTCGGCGACGTTCAGCTCCGACGGGACGTAGCGGTAGTACCCCTGAATCGCGAAGCTCATGGCGATCGCCGCCGCCTGGCGGCACAAACGCAGCAGGGCTGGTGAACTCGAGCGGCCCTTGCCCAGGGCCCCCAGAGCCACATGCTGTCTGTGAGGATCAGGACCTTCCGCCTCTACATCCGCGATGATCTGGCCAGGTGTCGCAGCCTGCCCACCACGGCCCGCGTCTCGTTGATGTTCGTGTGCTCCGTGATCCTCCACCTCCCGAAGTAGAGCGGCCGCCATCTCGCGATCGGCATCCAGGCGGGGGACAGCGGGGGGACTCTGACTCGATCGCCCCGCCCCACCTCGATCCTCGCCCTTCCCGGCCTCGGCGGGCCGAAGGGCGAAGTGGATGGAGACACGCGCGAGCCCGTCGGATCGGGGCCACTCATCTCCTTCGTCATGCGGGCGAAAGCCTCGATGATCACCTCCGCCAGCGCGGTGCACAGCGGCGGCTGGTACGCCTGGGCGGAGGCGGTGCAGAAATCGGGACGGCCTCGCTCCGCCCGTCCCTTGAGTACTGTCTGATGCCTCCCTCGGTGGTTGCACCTCAAGCGGAGACGGTCCGCGGCGAGGTCCAGTGCGTCGTCGTAGAACCCGAAGATGCCAATCATGGTCGGCTTCGTCGATGGGGCTCCGTAGCGGCACTGGTCGATCCGATTGATCCTCCCGCCCGTCTCCTCGAGGAGGCATGCCATCTCGGGTAGGTTCCAGATTGACGGGCATGGGTCCTCCTCTGGGTCCGCAGGGTGCTCCATCAAGCCCAGGCCTCCAGCTCGACATACCTCGCGGACCGCCTGCATGGCCGACAGCAAAAGGCGCGACCCTAGGTCCAGGCGGAGGCGCTCGAAGGCTGTGAATGACAAGTCGCTCGTCCCCCAAGGCCCGAGGCGTGTCCGTAAGGGCCTGGGCCCCTTCCCCAGGAAGCGAGCCCGACTCCAAGTTGAACATGGGGGCCAGGCGATCACTGCGTGGAAGTACCCGTCGCGCGCCAGGCTCAGGATCAGGCCGACGAACTCGTCGTTGGTGAGGTCGTGCTTCGGGTTGATCACCGCGTCGATGGACCAGACCTCGACCTCGTAGCCGTCGAGCTCCGCCCGCGAGTGGATGGCCTCCTCTAGATCCCCCTCCCGGCGCCTGCCCGCGAAGAGGTACAGCACCCGGTAGACCCTCCGACTTACCCGCGGCGGCGGTGCAGTCGAGGCCTCGATAAGCTCGTCGACGTCGTAGGCGCACCCCCCAGCGTGGGGGACCCAGGCGTCCTCCTCCTGGGCTGTGTAGATATCCTCGGTGGCGATCGTCCATCCTCTCATCTCGCTGTAACGGGCGTCCTTCCTGATCTCCTCCAACGATGCGTCGGTGACCGCCGCTCCGTAGCCCGTGTCGCTGGAGTCCGTCATGAACACCTGCGAGAGCCACGGAGCTTCGAGATCTGTACGTAAGAGGGGCGCGCAATACGCCATCGTAGTCAGCTCCCACCTCGCCGCGTCCGTCAGTCGGAACGGCGTCTTGGCGGTCTCGGGACGTCTCATCTCGTGGTACACCTGGTCGAAGATAGCAAGGCCCGTGCGCTGGAAGATGGCCGCCCACGCCTACAACCCCACGACGCGCTCGAGGAACTCCGCGGTCCAGTACGTCCGCTCTACCAGCCGCAGCGTCACCAGAGCCAAGCCGCAGGCGCGGTCGGTCTCTGCTGAGACGGAGTAGGGTCGGCCTCGGATGACCGCCCCCAGCGACTCGAGCCCCTCGCCTTCGGTCTTATTGTGGACGGGGAGCCCGACCTGCCTCAAGTAGTGCTTGACTCGGGCCGTCAGTCCGCTCACGACCTCGCTCACCGGCTGCCGCGCGCTGGCGGACGTGGCCATGGCCCCGCAGTCGTCCATGTGCGCCCAGTTCACCGACTCGAACCCCTCGGGCCCAGTCAGTTGAGGCGTCGGAGCCCCATAGACCAGACGCGCGCCGACGGAGTCCTCCCCGAGCCCGCGCGCCATGCAGGCCTGCAGCGTAGAGTGGGCCAAGAACGGGGCCCACGACCAGCCCATGACTAGGACCTTCAGCGCCAGGAAGGGCCCGCCATCGGGGATGACGCAGTCCCGCCCCTTGGTCCTCATGTAGTCGACGAACTCGTGGACTGGCACCTCCTCCAAGACAAAGTAGGGCCAGACATCGGGCGGCGTCTCCAAACGATAGAACATGTCCGGGATGTCGCCCACGCCAGTGTAGACCACGTCCCTCTCGCCCAAGTTGGAAAGGTCCACGTGAGCGAAGGTCGCGGGGCTGCCGAGGGGCACGCACGGGGGCCTCTGCCAGCGGAGGTTGGCCCGCCTCTGGTCCCAGATGGGGCGCGCCTGGCGCCTGGCGGGGCTGAGGGGGTCCCCCTCCTCAAGCAGGTACTTCTTGATGACTCCGAAAAGCGAGACCCCCTCGACCATCTCGTCGGCGGTCCCGAGCATCCCCGCACCCCAAAGCCTCTCGGCTAGGCGGAGACGCGACGCCCTCGAGCGGAGAGACGGATCTCGGTAGACCTTCTGGCCCTTCAGCTCCTCGTCCAGGAGTCCATGGCCTTGCTGGGCTCGCGTAGCATCCTCCCCGCAACGTCGGAGAAGTACTCGGCGGCCAGCGGGCAGATGCCCACGAGCTTGGCAGGGATGGCCCCTGGCGGCGGAAGAGCCAGTTCCACCACGTCGACGGAGAACATCGCGCCCTTTGGTAGCATCTCCCTTCCCTTTGAATCCTTTCCCAGGGCAACCGTAGCCCCATCGCCTGAGTATGGCGAGGCCCGACCGGCCATGGCGCGCCGAAGGGCGGCGTCCTCGTCTTCCTTGATCGCGGCCACCTGGCTGCCCCAAGCTAGCCACGCCTCCAGTAACCTCCTCGAAGTAGCCCACTGGAGCGGTGTTGCCCGCTCCCACGCGGCCGACGGCCCAGCGCCCTCGGCCGCTCCGACCGTGCCCCGCGCGAGGCGGTGCATGGATCGGATCAACCCGTTGGCAAGAGCTCGCACATGTCTCAGTGTGCCTTGATGCATCGGCCCCGCGCGGTCCACCACCACCGACCACGGTAGCAGCGGCAAATCCGGCAGAAGGTCTCGGTCTCGAGGAACGGCTTCGGGAGGCGCGCCTGCGGCCGCCGTCGAGGTAGACGATGGAGAAGTGTGTGGATGGAGAAAAGCGGGCATGGCGTCGCCTCCCGAGGGGCGCAGGGCCTCGCGAAAAGATCGTCGCGACAAGCAGGAGCGTCACCGTAGCTATCGGGAGAGTAAGCCCACCAGAGTGGCCGTCGTCAGGGCGAACGGAACGGCAACCCGCCAGCCCCTCCCTCAAGCGCGGGGAGCCCCGCGAGGCACCACAGACAGGGAGAGTTCCTCCAACGTCTACTCGTCCTCCTCCTTCACTGCGTCCGAGCCCCCCTTCTGCAGATACTTCTGGAAGAGAGCCTTCTGCTGCAGCCTGGCCGTCAAGTCGCCTCCACGCCTGGGAGCGCCTCCTCGCCCTCCGTGAGAGACCTCCAGTCCAGCTCGTTCGCGAGGTCCCAGCGCACCTTGGACTTCCACTTGTTGGCCCCGCTGCCCCGGGGCTGCTTCCAGTCGTTGATGCATGCCACGTCCTTGAACGCCCGCTTCAAAGCATAAACTCGTGCGCATAAGATCTCGCAGCCCGCCGTCTGGATGAACTCGGGCGAGGCCTCCAGCATCCGGTCCAGCGCCATGCAGTGCAGCATCATCTCGTGGCCGATGTGGTTGCGATTCAACTCCTTGAGGCGAACCCAGTCCGTCGCGAACTTCACCATGCTGCCGTACTTCCCGTAGGTCTGGACCAGCAGCTCGGGCGCCACGCGGGAGGTGAGGCCCGCTGGGAGGGTGAAGTGGGCGGCGCATCGATCTTCGAGAGGTTGGCCAGCAACCTCTCCCTGGGGTCCCGGAGTGCCTCCCGCAAGGGCTCGAGGCTCACCCCCGCGCCCTCCAGCGTCTCCTTCGTCCCCAGGTCGATGGTAGGGCACGTCGTAGATCCCGCCGTGGCCGACGTGGACGAGGCGTCCTGCAAGGGCTTGCATCCAGGAGAGACCTTATCCGCATTGATCGTGTCCTCGAAGCGCTTCAGCCGGTCGATCATCCTGTCCACATGCACGTCCATGCTGGAGTCCGCGTTGACACTGGGGACTCTCTCCCAGCTGGCGTGGCTGCTCTCTCCAGGGGACGCGGCCGACGAGGCACTCCGACTCGTGGGGGCACGTGGTGACTCCGACCTCGATTTGGTGATCTCGTCGAGCAGGTTGCTCATCATGGCCTTCATCTCCTGCATGTCCCTGGCTGGCTCGGACTCGTCCGACGACCCCGCCACCGAGTGGCCCGCTTCCCCGTCGCTGTCCACGTCGCTCACTGGAGGCGAGGCCCCCGCGAGCAGAGGGGAGGAGCGCTGCCTGCAGCAACGCAGGAGACTTGGCCCGAGAGCCACCACGGCGGTGAAGATCATGATGGGAATCTCGAGCTTGCCGTCTTGGTACAGGTCGTGCAGATATCCTCGGAAGTCGTCGATCTCGAGCATCATGTTGTGGCCGTCCTCGAGCTTCTCCACTGACCAGCGCATCCACTGCCATGTTGCAGTAGACCGCCACCCTCCAGAAAAAGAAGGCGGCGCCCACCGTCGACCCCCGGTTCCATGTGCTCCATACGCCAACCAGACCAGAGCGAAACCAGGACAATGAGGCAACGTAGCGGCGGATGTTGGACAGATACAGCTCGGCCTCGAGCTGCTTCCCCTTGGCCTTCTCCAGGATGTCCGCCTTCTCGGGGGCTGTGAGGGTCGGGAACGCCTCGTAGTCCCAGCCTGGCTGTCGACGACTCGACATCTTCGCCCGATCCTTGATGTCGCCCACGCCGAGCGCGCGGTCCGGCTTCACGTAGATCCACCTTGTGTCGTTCTTCTTCTTGGGGTACATTCGCATCGCCAGGAGGACCACCTGCCCCCGCTGGGGGCCAGTCGTCCGATAGAAGCGGCTCCACCGTGTCACGCTGGACATGTGCACCCGCAGATAGTCGTAGAAGCTGAGCCGCTCGGACTCTCTCGTGTACCTCAGGGACGCGTCGTCCTCGGGCTCCACGAGCGGCTTCGAAAGGACAGAGTCGAGGACTCCCCAGTCCCCGATGTACGAGAGCAAGGCAGCACTGGCGAGCCACCACCGCCTCGCCGCGGTGCCGACGATCAGCGCCCGCGCCGCGAGCACCCACGCTGGTGGGGCAGAAGGGCGAGCGCGCGCTCCTGGCTCGAACGATCTCGAGCCAGAAAAAGCTTGAGCGGACACGAAAGACAAGCAGGGCAGGACGAGGGATATAACCTGCACTACTATCTTACACGGCCCACCCCCACCACACCACCCCGAGACGCGATCAATTAAGTTTGGAAAACGATCAACGCTTGAGCCTGGAGACGGCCCGCTTGGCGATCTCAGAGTCGGTGGGCAGCACCTGGCCCTTCGTCAAAGAGATGGTGAAGCCAATGTCCAACAAGTCCAAGCAGAGGGCGCGGGTGGCGCCGACCAAGATGTGCTCGACCTGCGCGCGCTTGGCGCAGACTGCCAGCGCGATGTCGTCGACCACCAAATCCGGGCGCGCCATCTGCCAGGACGCCAGCAGCGCGTCGAGGCGCTCGAAGAATGCCCCCCGAACTCAGGGCCGCCGTCGGGCAAAATCATCTCTGGCAGACCAAACGGCCTGACCCGCCACTTGGCGAGGTTGGGCCAGACGGTGGAGGAACGAGTATCGCCAAGGAGACAACACTGCTGACAGCTAGTCCCGTGATCCACCATGTTCAGAACAGGCAGGGATTCACCCTGGTGGTCGAGATAACAGAGGTCTATAGACAGAAGCCGGTTGAAACGATGCGTCCTGGGCAAGTGGGCTCGTCGCCTCCAGAGAGGGCGGGAATGCGGTGCGCAGCGCTCGCACTTACATTGCTGACGAACCCGCTTCACCACCTCGGCCCGGGACCCGGCAACCCGAAGGGTCCACGCAAAATCGCGCAGCATGGGGTGACCGAGATTCGTGTAACTTTTGAGTTTCCTGTTGGAGCCCCTCGTCGATCTCTGGCTCCTCGGTCCTGGGGCCGGACGCCTTCCTAGACCTCGTCGCGGTTTCGTCGTCGTCGGATCCCGGGGCGCCCGCCCCGTCGCAAGCCTGACCGGCCTCGGTCTCCAAATCTGCCCCGTCGACAGGGTAGCTCGAGGTGTTGCCTCTGGCTGCGGCCTCGCGCTGCCACAGCGCGGTCTCGATCCCGTTGGCGATCGCCGTCGCCGGCGCGGAAGGGTACTTCTCCGCCTTGCGAGTCCCCCCGCTCCCCTCCAGAGGCAAGTGCGCATGTTCCCCTCTGCACCTCTTGGAACACTCTCGGAGCAGAGCCTCGCAGCTTGCCAGAAGACGAGTTGGCTTCTTCGAAAGGGCCCCTGGGGCGACAGACAGGCCGCGCCAGCACTGGTCCAGGACCGAAGAAACGACACTGGAAGAAGACGCGACGACTTTCACGCTCTCAAGGTCCCAGGAGCTCGCCGACAGAGGATGCTCGAGCACGAAGACCCAGCCCAGGAAAATCTGGTAAAGAGCGATCTCGCAGCAGAGATGTAGAAACGCTATGCCCTTCCACTCGACCTCGCCCCTCCCTTTCTCGCTCATGCTGTTCCAATTGCTGGCGGGCGCAACGCTGCAGACCCGACCGACCGGTGACATGGCGATGCACTGGGGTTGGTCTTTCCTTATCAAATCCCCCAAACGATCGATTCCAAAAGAAGTGTCCAGATCCCAGCCTGTCAGAAGATCCACCGCAGGAAAAAAACGCGGCACCCTCTCTCAGCCATAGTAGGCGAGACCCTCTGAGGAGAGAAGATCCCCAGCAGGGCAGCGCCTCCCCTCTTCCGCCCAGCCTCCCAAACAACTTTCCTACGAGCCGCGCGCCGGCGAGGGCCCCCCGATCCCTCCAGCAAACAGGAGGCCCCGAAGTGTCACAATCCGGGGGGTGAAATGCTGAAGCCAGCTTTTGTGGCGTCCTGTCCCGGCATTGTCATTTTGACTTCTCAAATGTGCAACATGTTTTTCGGTCTCGCCCCGCGCGCATATGCGCGCGGGACTTGCAAAACACTTCGCGCCCACGGCGCGCCAGGGACCAGGACGTAAGCGCGCGCCCCCGCGCGCGCGATTGCACACTCGCTCTTGCGTTTTGCAACTGAACCCAGCATGGGGTGCAGTTGCGCGCAGCAGCCGCAAGCGAACCCGCGGCGGACAAGCGAACCATCGCCGCAGGGGCGCACGGCACCGAGCGGCAGCGAAAGCGCAAACGCGCACGCACACACACACACCATGGTTTGAGCCAAAGTGGCTACTCGGCAACTTAAGGCACTCTCACACCCACGCACGCAACACACGCAACATCACACGCACACGCGCACACACACACGCACGCACGCACGCGCGCACGCACGCA